CCCCAAAACCCCAAAACCCCAAAACCCCATAAGTACATTAAATCACAATACTAGATAAATAATAGATTTTTAATATATTAAATCATTATTTGCTTAGTCTTCAGGATTATTTTATAATCTCCATTATCTTTTTATAAGTAATTTAATATCTAATCGCTGTTAAATAGAATCTCCCAAATTTATCAGTATTTGGATTGTTCTAATCAATGACCTCACTATTCCATTTTCTAATAATTTTTGTGCCAATAATTAAAACTACAAGTAGATTTATCAAAGCTTGAAAAATCAGTGACAATACAAAAGCGAATAAATCTATTGGGTACATAAAAGCACATATTATTAGAATAGCTAATAAACCAGCTGCGTTAAGTAAAAATAATAAGAAGCATTGGTTTCTAACCTTTTTGCTGATTTACTATTGATTTTCAAGTTTCATTAGATAATGATCTTTTGATTTTATAGAGGATATGTTAGCAGTTGTGGATTTCTTATTTTCATTTTTGTCAATTGTTTCCTTAATAATTTCTATTTTTATATCGAACTCATCAATATTTGAGTTATTATTTGAATTCTCCTCTTCCTTTTGCTCCTCTTGCTGCTAACTTAAAATTTCAGGATTGCTAGGTTATTCTTCTTGAAAAGGTTCCATCTATACATCTTGGGTCTCATAATCCTTTGATTCCTCTATTTCATTTGAATTATAAACATTTTCAGGTTATTACTAATCATCATCTTCGTAATCAAAAGATGTTGATGATCTATTATCAGTTTTTTAGTGATTTTCAGTTTCAATGTCCTTTTTATCTGTATCTTAACTGATATCTCTTTATTTGGTTTTCTAATTTTCTTTTAATTCTTACTCCAATCCATAGGTGTGACTAATAATCTAATTCTGTGGGAAGTGCAAGAGTATGATAGCAATTATAGCTATTAATAAACCATCTATGTTTTCATCACTAAATATTCTAAAATCATTTGCTTGAGAACGCAAAACAAAGAATATTCCTGTTACAGCTGCTTAGGAGAATATGATCCCAAAGAAGGATTAACTTCTCAGAACTAATTAAACATGATGTTAGTATGAGAATAGACTGAGGAATGAATTGTTGAGGAATGTAAAAATTCTAAGTTATCCTAACAATGTAATCTTATTTTATAAAATTTAATTTCCTTTGCTATTTTAAATCGTTTCGATTTTCTTTTATACTACTTTTTCATCTTAGCTATAATAATAAAATGATAATATCTGAATAGCTAGGTAGATAATCGCTAAGCAAATGATTATTATGATATATCTCGGTTTATTTAACTCATAAAACGTCTAGTTATCATTTAAATAGTCAGTATCATAATACTCATTCTTTTTTGAAATAACAGTGAAAATGCTCAGATGTTATGTTATGCATTAAATTGAGTTATTGCTTGTAAAGATATTTGTAGTAACTCCAGCTGTAGACCAAAGTTATGTATCCTCATCTAAAAATACACATAGAGCATCACTTATTTTTGTGGATTAGCTTTGATTATATTTAAAAATCATAGAAATGGGATTTATAAAGGTTACATTTAATGCTTATCCTTATTTATTGAACAAGTCAAGACTGAGAATTCTTTCTACTAGATATA